GCTGGGAGTACAAATTTGTTTCCCATGCAGCTTGTCCTCACCGTCAGACTGGGAAGCCAGACTTAAAGCAAATGGCTCAGCTACAGGCGAAGAAATGCAACAACAGAGGCAGGGACAAAGGGCTTATGTGAGGGCTGAATAAAAGCTAATACTGGGCTTCACTGGTGGCGCACTGGTTGAGAGTCCGCCTGCCGATGCAGGGGACACGGGTTCGTGCCCCGGTCCGGGAAGATCCCACATGCCACGGAGCGGCTGGGCCCGTGAGCCATGGCCGCTGAGCCTGCGCGTCCGGAGCCTGTGCTCCGCAACAGGAGAGGCCACAACAGTGAGAGGCCCGCGTACCGCAAAAAAAAAAAAAACAACTAATACTTATTGAGTCCTCTCTGAGCACGAGGCCTAAGGCCCAAGACCTTTGATGAGGTCCCAAAGATTGGAATGTGCAGCACGGGTATAGCAGGTGCTTTTGGGGTCCATGTTTGCTGTGTTGGCCTCCCCAGCTGAATATTGACTGGCGTCCACGCCTGAAGCACTAGTCTCTGAGGGGTGATCATTGCTGGGTAGAAGATGACACCCCTCATCTGCTTCTGCCCCTTCCAACATGTTCTAGAGCTTCCAGCTCAAGCAGCCAAGGCTTGTTCTCCAGCCCCTTCCACCCACAGCTTCCACCTCTTGCCTCACCCATCAGCAGGAGTCTTTCACTGCCCCACCCTCAGTTCTCACACCGTCGCCTTAACCCTGCCCTTGCCCATTGTCTCCTCCAGCCTCTCTAGGGGAGCACCGAGCCTGCTCCCCAGGCTGCACTTGCCTCCCATTCCCCAGGGCTCCCTCTGCAGTCCCCTCATTTCTCCTCTAGCCTTCGCCCCAGATCCCCTCTGTCAATCTTAGATCTGCCAGCTACCAGTTTCCATCACTGCCCACTCCTATCCTTAGCCCAGCTTCTTCCTCCCAGAGGAAGCCCCTTTCTTTCTGCCAGATTCTCCCGATGGGGCTGGCAGCCCCTCCCCTATCCCCATTACCTTCCTGCTAGCTACTGTTCCCAGGGGCCAGGAAACTCAATGCTAGATGTCCCTCTTTCTGCCCTTGAACTCTGGGAGCCAAAGGCATTCCCAACATGGACATGTGTTTTTTAAATTTATTTTTGATTTTTCAAATCTACTTGCTTCTTTAAACAAAAATTTATATTGAAAAAGTGACTGATTGTTTTAAAATGCTGAGTAAATAACAGGACAGGTGGTGGAAGTTAGCAACAAAGATGGAAGATCAGGAAGCACTGTATTTCCCCATTCAACCTTACCACGGCCCAGTGAAGTTCAAGTATGGACTGCTATCACCGCCACTTTGCAAAGGGAGACCCATCTGGGTTCTGTGATGAATTCCTTCGTGTCATGTGACATAGTTTAAAGAATTGGTTTTATTGGGGAAAGGACAAACTTACAAGGCTGGGCTTGTCCCCTGAACCCCATCATTCCGCTGAGTTTGGGTGCAGCCTTTCCCCCAGGAGGGTGGTGTGAAGAATCCCATTGGAGCTGGCTTGTTGCAATGGCAACAAAGAATGAGATCCTGGCGTCGCCTTGGGCATTTGTGCTCATCCAACCATGATCCCCATTTTATAGATGAAGAAACGGACCAGAGAAATTTAACAATTTGTCCAAGTCACAGAACAATTCCAGGGCCTAAATTCAAAACCAGTCTGCTATTTTATACACAAAGAAAAAAGACTTTATGAAGTAACAAGGAGGGGAAGACCTCTGCTCTCTGTTCTCTGGGCTTCACCTTGTATCTCTGAGAAGTGAGGTGATATTCTGTGAGGACCCAGCCAACCCCCTGGTGTTTTGACCCTTTCCCCCTTCACCGCACTCCCTTCTGCTCCCCACCCGAGCCGTGTTGGCATGTTGGGAGCTGTAAGGGCTGCTGCAACCCATCTCCTTTGATGATTGTAAAGAAGGCTTAGCAAGAAACTTCCTACGCTTAACCCTCTATGCCAGAGAATTAGTACCCAAATTAAAATGACTTCAACAGTTTACATTTTAAAGTACCTTATAATCACTGGCAATGGTTCATGGGAGAGCTATCTATAGAAATTTTTGAGATCTTGTACATAAACCTCAAGAGGAAAATAGGAGCTGTTTCTTTAATTCTTATTACACAATTTTTAAGAAACACTTTCATATTCCATTCAACTCTTTCTTCCCTTTTTCCTTTCTCTCTCACTGGTTCTGAAAAATAAGTGTAGACATAAAAATGCAGGCTATCGAAAGCCGACTTTTTCTATATTTAATAAAAACCTTGGGGAGTAATTGAAATAATTTGGCACTGGCAGTCAGTTTACACGCTGCATAATAATCAAAGGAAAAATCCATAGTGAGGAAAGCAGCAGAAAACAGGAACATGTGCAGGAGAATAAAGCCAGGACATTAAATAATGAGTGACTATGAGAAACTTAAAAAAAATTTTTTTATAATTACATCCTTGGAAAAATAGTCAAGAAGCATCTTCAAAGAAGTTATACTAGACAAAGTGTACACTCTCTGTATTTCTAAGGATTTTGAATTTAAAGAAAAGAACAGAAACACTCCTCACCCCCAACTCCACCCCAGCATCTATTCATTAGATAAAAGTCTGACAGAAGCCATGGATTTCAATCAAATTTTGACATACATGTTTTTTCGTGATTAGGCTATCCTCCCATCTCCTTTTTTATCTCCACGATCTGAATTTTAAAGAAATGCTGTCAAGACAGTGTACCACAAAAGGAGAGATGTCTACTATAAATTGTACTGAGTACTTTTCAGAGAATTTTACTTTGGTCTTTTAGATTTTACAGAAGATGGCTGCATTCATTGTGGGAGCAAAGTGACATTGAGATGACACGTCTGGGTCTTGTGAGAGAGAAATGCTGGTGTCACAGGCACACGGGGAGAGCGCAGCTTCCAGCCTGCATTTCTAGCCGAATCCTATTCCTTATTCTGCACCCTAACATGGACTCTTGGCTGCGGACCTTGGGCAAGGTCTTTACTGTTCCTTCAGTTTCCATCTAGATTTTTTTTGGTTGTTATTTCTATATAAAACCAAAATCTGTGGGAAACAGAAATATTAAAAAAAATGAAAGCCATCACCCATAATTTATCAAACATAATGATTTTGGTGTATTTTCTACCAATTTTCTTATGTACAGCTAGTTTTTTCTTTTCTTTCCAAAATACAGTAGAAATTAAATTATACTATCCAATTTTATATGCTAATTTTTCTTTTGGCGGTGTTTTGTCTTTCTAAATAAAAATATATGGACTTTTAGTCCTCATTTTCTAGAGCTGCATAATATTCCACATGGTGTTTTTGTGTTCTTTGTTTTTACAGTCTACACCGACAGAGAGCTTTTGCCAGCACTGGGACTGTTTGAATATCTCATTAAAGGAGAAGAGAGAGAGCAACAAGGGGTCAGTATTCACTTTGTGTCTATGATGATTCTTAGCCAGGTTGCAGGACAACTTTCCAATAGACTGTTGGTCATGTTCATACGCAGAGAGACAAGGTTGATTTCTTTCTGTGGGTCAATCTCGGATCACAGACCAGTGACTGTATTATCGTTGTTGGTGTCTGAGTGGAGTGAGATAAGCTGGGTACAAATTCCAGCTCTGCAACTTTCTATTCTGTGACCTGGACAGGACTCTTTGTTCTCTCTATGCCTCTGTTTTCTCAGCTGTAACAGTGTAGATATCATTAAAAATTCCCAATTCTGAGAAACGTATTTTAATAATTTGATACTGGGTTGAGCGCTGCAATCAATGTGTACATTGCCATTTTCCTTTCCTTTTTCCACCGTTAACACTCCCCAGAGCTAATACAATCAATGATATCTTAGAATTGAAGTAATATAATATGTCATATAATAAATACTTGCTTTATAGTTTGTTGAAAGGATTAGGTGAAATATTATACATAAATTGTTCTTAGCGTTTGGAAGAGATCAACAATCAGCTATTATTTTATTAGTAAGAAAAAAACTATGTTGTCCTTAGAATAGAACATTTGTTCTGCATAGAATATATATGATAAACAATACATTATTTGTAGGTCATATATTTAGATAAAACTTGTACTGCTTGGAAAATTCCTTAATGCTCTGTTGATTAGAGATGGCATAGGGATGGCAGATAGGTTTAACTTTATGTGCCAAGTCTAATCTGTTGATGATGATTGTCAGGTGTGCTGTGTTGTGAGAATGGCTGAAGCAGAAGAGCAGACAAGAGTGCTGAGGTGGGTTAGTTAATCTCTTCCCCAGACTTGGGAAGATGGAGTGGCAACACACAGACCAAGTGTTTGCCATCTCTGCATTATGTGTCACAAAACCTTACTCGGGAGCTCACTAGGTACTAGCCACGCCATGGTTAATCAATCAGGAGTTACATCAAAATCTTGTGGACTGAATCTGGGTCCAAGGTGGGAGGTGAGAACCACACAGGTAAGAAACAAGCCCAGAAGACACAGATGTCTGGGACACATGGGAAGCTGATGGAGACAATACCCTGAAAACACGTTCCTTTTTAAAATGGCTTTGGGGGGTTTCAGCCACAAACTTTTAGCTATTTTTCGTGAAACTCCAACCCCAGTAGAAATGTAGGAGACTTTGCACCATAAGGGAGGGCAGAGTCTTTGCAATGACCTTGATTTCGCTCAGCCCTTGTTCTGCAAATGCTCACTTAGGTCTTGCTTCCTGAGCCTTGACGCCCTGCACCTTGGCCTTTCTAGAGCTTTGCTCTTGGATGACTGAGGTGCCCCCGTAGTCTCTACCTTAACGGCATCTTGTCTTGTTCTCTTTTGCTATGGGTAAAAGGCCTTAAAAGGGCCCCTCTCTCAGAAAAGGAAATGGTATTGAAAAGGGGGACTGTTCATTTTATTCTATGTTCATTATTATCTAATCCTCTGCTTTTGTGGTACTTATGAAATAAAACCAATCATTAAAGGCACATTGGTGAAAGTTTCAATGGAACACTACATACCATTTCTTGAAATGTTCTGGTAGTCCCTGTGATTGCAGTGGTTTCTTTTCCGTAAACGAAGGTAAATAGAGTTTTCTTTAACTCTGAAAGAAATATATATGTGTATATTTAATGACAGGACATTCACATGATGGAGTTAAAAGAAACATGGTTTTATTATGATTTTTTAAATGTAAAAATGAACTCAGAAAATCAAATCTCTGCAGGCACATTTTCTCTAAACTGTCAATACATTATTAGGAGTTGTTATAAGAAACAGTTTTACAAAATGGGTTGCACTGATGTGATAAGATCAAACTTTTTCTTCTTTTTATGAAGACTTCCAGTCATCCGTTTCTAACCTTTTAACCAAGAGCTGCTGTAAGTCTCTTGAGCAACTGGTCATTTTTACCAACTCGGTTATTTTGAATCTGATCATGTTCCCTTTCTTGTTTTGGTTGCTGTGAAGCTGTGGCAGACACTCCTGTTGTCTTTCAGATCCATTTCTCCCCCTTCATCCATTTTAATAGAAGTTTCAGTAGGACATGTGTCTGCCCCGAATGATGACTGCTTTACTCAGCTTCCCTTGCAGCTAGGAGTGGCCACTTCACTAAATTCTGGACAATAAGATGGAAGGAGAAGTATCCAGTGACAGTTTCTGGGAATGTTTCTCAGGAAACAATTGGCAAGTGACCCTTGCTTAGTCCTTTTTCTCCATTCTGCTGCACAGTAGGAATGCTGTCATCTTGGACTATGGGGATAAGTTCTACACTGAGAAAACAGAGGCGTGAGCTGGAAGGGCCCTGGATCCCTGAGGACCAGTGGAGTTGACCTCCCATATCAGACCTGGACTGCACATGTGAGAGAAATAAACTCATCTGTCATCTTATTTAAACCACCCATACGTTGAGTTTCTTCGTTACTTATAGCTGAATCTAATACTAATGGACACAGATTTTAGAGACAAATTTTCAACCAGCATCAGGCTGTAACCGCACATATTTTAAGTCACTTTATTGGCTTCTCTTTGTCCCATCTTTGATTTTCTATCTTCTTTTGCCAAACTTTAATTTAATTTAAATGGAATTTAATGTTATGTTCTCTATACTTTTATAGGCTTCCTAAAATCCATTTTGAAACAAGACCAGGTATAAACTAATGAATAATAATTAAACTCAGATATATTTGATTATTCCTCAAATGTATTTTATCTTCTCTTCATTATAATAAACTTCATATCTCACAACCTTACATAAATCATCACTTATTTTTAAGTGTTATGTAAGCCTCACTCATTGTATTATTTTGCTTGCCTACTGTCTCAGTGCTTCAGGTTTGGGCACTTAGAATGCACTGTAAGTATTGTTCTTTCTGAAGTCTGAGGAAACTAATAATAATAGAAAAAAAACTTGCGGTTACCAAGGGGGAAAGGGGGAGGGAGGGATAAATTAGGAGTTTGGGATTAACATGTACACACTACTATATATAAAATAGATAACCAACAAGGACCTACTGTATAGCACATTCTTTTCTCTTATAAGTTATTTCATAATAACTTATAAGGGAAAAGAATGTAATAAAGAAACTAATACAACACTGTAATCAACTATACTTCAATTAACACCCCCCCCCAAAAAAAAGAAACTACTAGTAACATTCCTTAATAGAAGACCAAGATCTCTGAACAGTATTTTAATTATGGAATTTTTGCTTTGTGGTAGAGTTTTGAGGTGAGTGATTTATTTTACTTTTTAAAATCAAAGCTACCCATGTGCATAGTTTTAAAAATCAAATTCATTTTACTTGAATAATGTTTAAGGGGCCTTACTATGTTCCAGGCACTATTCGACGCACCTGGGTCCTACTGGTAAATGAAAAAGACGAAGATCCCTGCCCCTGTGTCATTGACATTCTGGCAGGGAAAAAAACCCACTAAACATCACGAATAGGCAAATTATGGAGCATGCTAGAAGACAGTAAATGCTATGGAAAAAAGGGAGGCAGGGGAGCTAGGATTAGAGTGGTCAGAACAAGGCTTATTGAAAAGGTGGATGTGAGCAAAGACTTGAAGTGGTGAGCCTTACAGAACAAAATAGTTGAACTATTTTCGTCTATAAGGCTTGCAGTGATAAACAGCAAGCTCACACTCCCCGTTCCTCCCCATTTCTCCGTTCCCAGAGGCAATTAATTTCAACCTTATTTGACTGAGTCTTTTCGTATTTTCTTTCTTATCTCTAAATAACATACTTTCAAGGCTACTTCTTGATTTTTAGTCTTTGGCATTATCTATTCACTTTTCACTATCAAGAGGAGGATTTAGCTATTCACAGCAGATCTATGATTGCTTTTTCTTCTCTTCACAACACTTTCAATTCCCTGGAGTTAATAGCTGCCTTTGTTTCTTTGTTTAATTTTCTTAACTGTTTATCATCAATTCACCCTTAAATCTTTTTACAGTTGTTTGATCTCTTTTCAATACGCTCTGATGTATCAGTTTTTTAATTTCATCTCCTTGTGGAAATCTCTCCTGGGTCCTCTTGCCCTGCTTAATCAGGACTTGTTGCCCTCTCACTCTGCTGCAGAGCAGATATCCTGGGAGCCTCCTTCTTCATACCCTGGGGATCCTTTTCACCTCTTCCTGACTTGTTAGATATCCTACTTCCTGGAAGACCACATTTTTCTTATTTTTGATGGAGAGTACTTTTACGTAATGTTTGAAGGATGTGTGTGAAGTAACATTACTATTTTTAGCATCTGAAAATGTTTTTATTTTTGACTTAGTGAGGTGTAGGGTGGTGAGGTATTGCTGGTGAGGTGTAGGGCGGGCCCAGAAACACAGCTTGCACCATAAATACAAACACAAATAAGGGTTAATAGGACTTGTTGGGGACGAACTTCAAGTAGAGAAGTAGCAGTGTTCACCTGGTCCCTGAACTCTCATTGTCTCATAGAAAAGTGTCTTAGACAGGACATAGCTAGACTGGACACATATGGGACACCCTATATATTTTTAGGGAAAGCAGGTTCTGGTGTTTATAAGTTGCTATATAATAATAATAATAATAATAATAATAAATTTCAGTGATAGGTAACTGTTTTGTTAAAAAGGAGGCTTTCCAAACAGGATGAATCAGCTTCTTGTTAAGTACCGATAGGAAAGAGGAAATAGGTCTCCAGAATTATCAGTTTGCCTCTTGTTGACTGGTGTGGTAGATTTAAGAATAGCCTCATTATCTTTGACACCCCTACCCTTAAATCTTGGCTGTCTTGTTACTTCTTTGACCAAAAAGATATGGTGGAAGCGACACTATGCCGGTTTTGGCCTGGCTTTTAAGAATCCTGGCAACTTTGGTCTCTTGGAGCCCTGGTCCACCACCTAAGAAGTCTGACTATCTTTCTGGAGACACCATGTTAAAAAGGCCCTATAGTGGAAGCAACAAAGATGTCCTTCAATAGGTGAATAGATAAACCGCGGTACACCCATACAAAGGACTATTATTCAGCAATAAAAGGAAGTGAGCTATTACGCCATGAAGAGACATAGAGGAAGCTTAAGTGCATATTGTTAAGTAAAAGAAGCCAATCTGAAAAGCCTGTATACTGTGTGATTCCAACTATGTGACATTCTGGAAAAGGCAAAACATGGAGACAATAAAAAAATCTGTGGTTTCCAGGGGTTAAGAGGAGGGAGGCGGGTATTAACAGGTGGAGTACAGGGGCTTTTTAGGGCAGTGAAACTAATCTGTACAATACTGTAATGGTGCATATATGTCATTATGCGTTTGTCAAAACTCATAGAATACACAACACAAAGAGTAAACCCTAATGTAAACTATAGACTTCAGTCAAGAATAACGTATCAATGTTGGCTCTTCATTTATAACAAATCTACCACACTCATGTGAGATGTTAATAATAGGGGGAATTGAGGAGATGAGGGATTATTTGGGAACTCTCAGTACTTTCTGCTCATTTTTTCTGTAAAGTTAAAACTGCTCAAAAATTAAAGTTTATTAAAAAAAAACAAACCCTACCTGGAAAGGAAAAGAGATCCAGCTAAACCCAACCTTCTGGTCACCACTTGTCAGGCACCCACTTCGTGTGAGTGAAGCCATCTTGGACCCTCCAGCCCAGCGCTAAGTGAATACTGTCGTGTCCATGGTCAATATTACATGGAGAGGAAGAATTGGCCAGCCAAGCTCTGCCTGAATTCCTGACCTCCCAAACTGTGAGGTATAAAAATGCCTTGTTTTAAGCCACTAAACTTTGGAGTACTTTTTACACAACAGTCGATGTGCAGAACAGATGCTTATAGAATTCTGGGTTAATATCGTTTTCCCTCAGAAGTTTGAAGGAATCAATCCATTGGATCCTGACCTACTATTGGCATTATCTATTCACTTCTCACTATCAAGAGGAGGATTTAGCTATTCACAGCAGATCTATGATCTGCTGTGATCTGTTGTTGTCTGAAGCCATTCTGTGCCTCAATCCTTTGAGAACCTGAGTAGCATCTGTTCCAAGTGTTCTGAAGTGTTATGATGACAGGCTTGGTGTGGTTCTACTTCCATTCAGCGTTAGACACACTTTCAACCTGGAAATTCATGTCACTCAGTTCTGAGAGGTGTTCTTGAATTATTCCATTGATGATTTCTTCCTTTCTTAGAACTCCTATTATTTGGATACTGGGTCACCTAGACTGGTCCTCTAATTTTCCTAGTTTTTCTATCTTAGTTTCCATCTCTTTGTCTTTTGCTCTATTTTCTGGATGATATCCTCAACATGATTTTTCAATACATCCATGAAATTCATCTTATGTCATTAGTATAATCTCCCAATGATCATTTTTGGTCTCTGAATATTTCTTTAATTTTAGTATAATGTTTTAATTTCATGAATGTAATATCTCTTCTTATTTTTTTGAAGATACCATTTTAATTATTTTTATAAGTAGGATATTAATTAAAGTTAAAAAAGATTTCCCCTTGGAGCACTGTCTCTGTTATCTTGAAGTTGTTTTTCTCTTTGTTTTTTGTGTTGTTTTTCACATTCGAGGTTGGTCTCAGATATCTGATGATCTTGGGTTGTTGGCTTATGTGTAAAA